CGTGATGACATTTGGCTTTAATTCAAGAAGGTGAGGGAGCCAGGCACGGTGGCCCACACCTGTCATCCCCAGTGGCTCGGGAGGCTGGGGCAGGAGGATCGCAAGGTGGAGGCCAGCCTCAGCCTCTCAGTGAGACCCTGTCTCTAAATAAAATAGAAAAAGGCCTGGGGACGGGGTTTAGGGGTGAAGCGTCCCCGGGTTCCATCCCTGGTGCCCCATAAAATAAAAAGGCCACTTTCAGAGGAGACAGAAAGGGGACCCTGGTTGCTAAAGGAAGAGAGGACAGATCTCCCCCACTCTGAGCACCTTATTAAGCACGGCTGTGGCCATGGGCCCAACAGGCTTGGGACAAGGCCATCTCTGGAGACATTTCAGAGCTTAAATGTCGCAGTTCTTTGGATCCCTGCGTTCCAGGGGTTGGGGGCATGATCCTGATGGCTCTGAGGTGCTCCCAAAGCAAATGCTAGACATCTCTCGGGGAGAAAAGGAGAGAGAGAGAACCAGAGATGCTCCTACTTCCTGCTTTGGGCAGAGACCCGGAGTGTTCTGGAAACCGCGATGTATCTGCTAGGTCCCTGGCTCATCCCCCACCCGCCAGCAGAGATCAGCGATGTCCAATCTCAGTGTGGACTTCAGGTATGGCTTGATCCAGGAGCTTAAATGATATCAAAAACACCATCTGTTTTCTCTATCGCTGACGTCTGTTTTCTTTGCTGGGAGTGCAGGATGCTGGTGCCCCCCCACACACATACACACCTGAGACCCTTTCTTTATTTTGAAGCTTTTACTCTGTGACCCAAGATGGCTGCAGCAGCTCCTTCCATCCCATCTACATCCTAGCCCGATGGAAAGGGAGAAGGTACCAGGGAAACCAGACTTTCTTCTGAAAGAAGGTACTATTTGATAGATACTCTTTGAGTGCCACCCAGTCACTAAGTGGTGGAGATGTGAGCCGGGCCTTCTGTCCTGATATGCTGCCTTGACTTGGTCCAAAGTCCTGGAAGCGACTGACCATGGACGAAACCTCTGAAACAGTGAGCCCAAATCTTTCCTCTTCAAGGTTTCTTTCCTCAGCCATTTTGTCACTGTCACAGAAAACTGACAGTTGAAGATAGATTCAGATCCAGAAGGAGGTAGTATGAGTTTCTCGCTGCGGCTATGACAAGTAACCACCAACTTAGGTGCCAAGTGGTGCAAATGGATCATTTTCTCATTTTGGAAGGTTAGGAGTCTGACATGGGCCTCGCTGGACCATGTCCTAATTGAAGTGTTGACTGAGCCATGTTCCTTCTGGAGGCTGAGGCAGGAGGATTGCAAGGAGGAGGCCAGCCTCAGCAGCTTAGCAAAGTTTAAATAAATAAAAAAAATTTAAAAGGACTGGGGACGAGGCTCCGTGGTTAAGCACCCCCGGGTTCAATCCCTGGTTGATTGTAGCCAATTGCTCTTCAGAAAGGTTGGATCAGTTGACAGTCCCCCCCAAGAGTATAGGAAAGTCCTTATGGATGTCCCCAATTGTCCCCGTTATTTGTGTAACTTTTTTCGCGTGGGGTTTGTTTTGTTTTTGTTGGCAAATCTGCTAAATGACAAATGGCACTTGTGGTTTGCCGTCTCGGTTGGTTGGATCATAGACGAGGGCATGTTTTCTTTTCATAACTTTATCGAATTTCTTCCTGAGCGGATGGCGCATTTTTTCCAGTGGGTTATTTGTCTTGTTTTCTTATTGATTTTCGGGAACACTTTACATGTGATGGATAATGATGGTTCCTTTATTACATGCACGGCGGATACTCCCGATCTATTGTCCGTCTTTTAAATTTTTTTAGAGCATCTTTTTTTTTTTTTTTGCTAGCCGAAGTGGTAGCGTTTCGTGGAGCCCAACAAATTAATCTTTTTCCTTTTGTCATCTGGGCAATGCTTAGGAGATAAAGCACAGTGGGACATTTTTAATCCTGGTTTTTAGAAGTCCAGTTCACGGTCAGTGGGAAAGCACCAAAGAGTGTGGCTAGTGGTCAGTGCGGGGGACTGGGGAGAAGATCAACCCTTCCAGGACACAGCCCTAGTGACCCACTTCCTCCAACAGGTCCCATCTCCTAGCTGTTCATTCAATTAATTAATTAATTCACTTAGTGGATTAATCCACTAGTGAGAGCAGAGCCCTAATAATCCAGTCATTGCCTAAAATCCCCCCACCTCTACATTGGGGACCATCCTCACCCAGGGACACTTAACCCCTGAGCCCCGTCCCCAGCCCTTTTTATATTTTATTTAGAGACAGGGTCTCACTGAGTTGCTTAGGGCCTCGCTAAGTGGCGGAGGCTGGCCTCCAACTTGCGATCCTCCTGCCTCAGCCTCCGGAGCTGCTAAGATGTCTTCCAAAATCCGGGGTTTCCTTCTGACATAAAGAGGAGCATGTGGCATCCCAAGGAAAGACTACATTACCCAGCCTCCTTTGCAGCTCGACCCGGTCATGTGACCATGACCGTGGGTTAAAAGTGGATGAGTCCGCTCTCAGGCATTTTCCCTTAGGAGACCGCTGAGAAGCACCTTTGCCCTTTCCATTCACGTCTTCTTTCCTGCTTCCTGGGATGGAGACACAATGGTAAGACTGTAGCCGCCCTCTTGGGTTGTGAGGTGGTTTCTCCAGGAGCCCTAAGAACAGAAAATGTCTTGATCTCTGACATCCAGGAGTGACTGAGCGGCCCCCGAACCTCTTCCCTCTGAATTTTCACAGGGCAGAAGGGTGTGCAGATTTCCAAGGAAGCCAGTTCCACCTCTCTGTCTCACTTCTCAATCGAATAGGTCTTAATTAACTTTGTTAATAACTCCTGGTCCATTTCCTCTAACACCACATTAAAAAAATCACCCCCAAAGCAGGTGGCGGTGGTGCACGCCGGTCATCCCTGCGGGCTCGGGAGGCTGAGGCAGGAGGATCGCAAGTTGGAGGCCAGATGCCCCACATCGTGGTCATTTTTCATTGCTGTTTAGTATTCCACCGTGTGGATACAAAACCAACCCTTGAAAGCTCACATTACGGTGGCCTCAGGGGTAGTTGGACCTTGTCCACGGCTGCGCAGACATCCCTGTATGAGTCAGCTTTGCTTTACTGTGACCGATATACCTGAGGAGGGAAAGTTCGGGAGTAAAGATGTACAGAGAAAAGGAGTTGATTGACCCCCGGGTGGCATTAGACCCCTCAGGACCCAGTCATTGCCCGAGAGTCCCACATCTGACCCTTGGGATTTCTTTGTCTGGGCCCTGGGGAGTCTTCGTCATGATGGTGAGCACCAGGTCACCTGTTTTACCAGATGTCCCCAGGACACTCCGGGACCTGTAGGTTCCATAGGCTGACCAGGAGTGTAGTCCCAGAAGGTGACGTTTGGGCAAAGACCTAATGTATGTGAGGGAGCCATGTGAATAGAGTAGCAGCATAAAGGAAAGCGCCTGTGCAAATGTCCTGGGGTGCAAATGTCCTGGGGTGGATGTGTGCCAGCCAGTGCAAATGTCCTGGGGTGGATGTGTGTCAGCTAGTGCAAATGTCCTGGGAGGTGTCCCCAGAGCTCCCATGGGAGGCAATGTAGGAAGGTCCAGAAGAGGAGTGAGGGGAAAAGATATTTTGCTTTCCATCTTTTGCCATAACGTATGCGACTTCAGTGAATTTCCTGACCCATTTCATAAAATGTGAAAGGACATCAGATGAAAGTCCCTCTGTGGAGTGACTGCTTCGAAGGACAAGCGCATTTGTACATTGGACAGTCACCCATTGCCCACTCTTCCGTGTGCCTCAGCTGACACTTCAATCCCCTGAGGAGTGTGAACTTTCCTAGAACGTGTTGATATTTTGCTAAGACTAAATAGATATTTTTTAAAAATGGCATTTATAACTATTTGTGTGATTTTTAGAAATTTATTGACAGGACCTGGCTCAATGTGTTTTAAATTTCCACAGCTCCGAGTGAGATTGAGCACATTTTTGTTCACTCCAGAGCTGTTTCTGTTTTCTTCCCCCAAACTTTTCTATCCATAGCCTTTACCAGTTTTTTTCTTATTGATTTGTAGGCACTCTTTACATAGCGTGTTCCCAGATGAGTGTGTGCACCTCTTCTTTAAGAAGCGTTCTTTAGTTCCAGTGATTATCGGTCGGAATTAACAGATTCCGTTTGTGTGGGCCTGTCCCTCTACCACAGCCAGGGACTATGTCTGGGTTTATTCCAGGTCCCTGCAGAGGTGTGGTGGAGCTGTGTCTGATTCTTTTCCTAGACGGATTCAGTTCTTGAGCTCGGTTTCCAGAGCGTTTTGTTCAATATGGTGGATCCAGGGTACCTTGCCTTACGGTGCCATCTGGGACGTTACTTAAAAGTGTTGATGAGCTGGCTGCAGGGGCACATGCCTGTGAACCCAGTGAGTCTGGTGGCCGAGGCAGGAGGATCGTAAGTTGGAGGCCAGCCTCAGTCAGCACCTCAACAAGACCCTCAGCCACTTAGCAAGACCATCTCAAAATAAAAACATAAAAAAGAAAGACCTGGGGATGGAGCTCAGTGGTCAAGTGCCACTGCGTTCGATCCCGAGTAATAATAATAATAAAAATAAAAATTAATAATAATAATAATAATAATAATAATAATAATAATAAAAATAAAAATTAATAATAATAATAATAATAATATAAAAGTGCTGACTGGATTAATCCATTAACTAATTAATTGCTAAATGGTTTGCAATACCTGGAGGGAGAAAGATATTGGAAGTCCCAATATTGGGAGAAAAGCCCAACAGGGTCATCATCTCTATAAGGGGACACCCACCTCCAAGACACCCACCTCCTGACCCCCAAGAAGCAGGAAATTAGCCTTTTATTTTATTTATTTATTTTTTTGGAACCAGGAATTGAACCCAGGGGTGCTCAACCCCTGAGCCCCATCCCCAGCCCCTTTTTCTATTTTATTGAGAGACAGGGTCTCGCTGAGTCGCTCAGGGCCTCTCGCTAAGTGGCCGAGGCTGGCCTCCACCTTGCGATCCTCCCGCCTCAGCCTCCTGAGCTGCTGGGATTGCAAGCAGGCACCACCACGCCCGGCAGCCATGAATCTTTTTATGGGAAATCTCCCACTTCAAAACGCTGGCAAAGATCAGTCTCTGGTCACACCCCTGAGACTCTGGGCTGCCAATTTGCAAAGCTCGAATTTGGAAAGTCTTTTGAAAAACACGTGCTCATACATGACGTCCACAACAATCCTGGAGAGAGGTGTGTGCAGGGGGGCAGAAGCTGAGGCTCAGGGTGGGAAAGTGGCTTGACTCAGCCCGTCTGACTGGGAGGGGTGTGTGTGTGTGTATGTTGGGGGGTGGGCAGGGAAAGTGGGCTCCTGGACCCCCGGCTCTTCTTCTGAGAAGAAATTTGAGCATTTCTGAGGAAGTCTGGAGCCAAGGCTCAGAGCTTTGGGCCAAGGTCCTCTTCCAAGCTTGGCCTGGTGCCCACTGAGCGCCTTCCAGAGCAGAGACGGGCAGGCCGTGTGTCCCCGGCTTGAGATCTCTCACTGTCTGAGTCCCGTGCCCTGTCATTAATCACCGCCGCCTCCTGACACCTCTGGTCTAATTATCTTGTATTATGAGTGAAGTCTCACCCAGCAGCACAGGTCTCCTCAGGGAGGCCAAGGCTCCCAGAGACCCAGGCAAGAAGTGTTTCCAACTCCCCTCCACCCCAGCTCGAGGGACCTTGGTGACTCAGTCACCCTCAACCCCACGGCCTTCTGGGCTGTGGGTTGGAGCAGATCTGTGGGAGGGTGGCCCTCGCTGAGTGATTCCTGCAAATCAAGAAAGGAGAAGAGAATCAGCGGCACCCACAGAGCCTCCTCTGGAGGCCATCTCCTTATTCCCAAAGCTCCCAGCGGCTGGGGAGGCTGAGGCAGGAGGATCGAAAGTTGGAGGCCAGCCTCAGCCACTTAGCGCGAGGCCCTCAGCGACTCAGCGAGACCCTGTCTCTAAATAAAATAGAAAAAGGGGCTGGGGACGGGGCTCAGGGGTGGAGTGGTCCTGGGTCCAATCTGAACAGAAGGAAGGCCACACACAGTCCCTGAGAGACGGAAGAAGGAAATGGGGGACCCACCCGGGATGTCACCAAGTTCTTCTGTAGGTTTCCAAAGGAGTTTGGCTTTTATTCTAAAGTCAACTGGGTGCCTTTTCAGAAATGGGTTTTTGGTGACCCATGAAGCTGGTCAGTTCCTGTCTAGAATTTCTGGTCTTTCCATGCAACCTTTCAACAAGCACTTATGGAGCACCTACTGTATACCATACTGACCCAGGGGCCCAAAACAAAAAGTTCCTGCTTCTGGACCAAGGGACCCCCTCCCCCTGGTCTCCTTCGGGTGCAGATGGCTCGCGCGGAGTCCACTGGGGACGCCAGGTGGCGCTGTGCGCTCGCTCATGGGCCGCGGCCCGGGGGTCTCCAAGCGCAGACGCGACCCGAGAAGGGGGAGGGACCCTGGGGGGCGGGGTCGGCGCTGCAGGTTGGGTGACTTTGGGTTTGACCTGCCTGGAGATGAGCTAATCCCGCCGTATAATAGACTCGGGGGAGATAGGGAAAATGGCTGAGGCGCTATCTGCGTCGCCATGGGGACCATCGCGCGCGCACGGGCGGGGCGCAGGGCTGGAAAAATACAGCCTTTGTCGGCGGCGCGTGTCACTCACGGCGCAGGGACCTCAGGCAGCCAGGCTCGGGGGCTCTCTTGCCCCAGCTTCAGGGTTTACAGCCGAGAGGCTGTGGGGACCAGGACCCCTGGGTCAGTATGGTATACAGTAGGTGCTCCATAAGTGTCCATAAGTGTCCCCAAACTCCTGGACTCGCTCCTCTTCGCTCCGTAGCCAGTTTCTGCCACCAACATGGCACATCCCACTGTCCCCCCTCACCCCCATCCCCGCGCACGCCTCTCTCTGTCCCTGTAGGAGTCTACACTCGCAAGCACCCGGTCAGGCCTGTCCTCTCGCCCTCTTGCTGTGCACCTGGGCACACCTGGGCTGAAAGAGGCATTTTTCAGGACGCATCTTCCCGGGTGCACACCCCAGCCACACGCTGACACGTGCATTCACCTCCCACAGATGCGCATGCTCTGCAGCTTGCAAGCCCCCCCAAAACGCACCAAGCGCGCACCCCACGCTCCCTCGCGGCTGCCACGCCCCTTTCTGGTGTGTGTCCCCCCTCCAAAGCATCCCGGAAGGGGTGACATGCATTGAGGCATGCCAACGCAAGCTTGCACAATCATTTTTTTTTGGGGGGGGGGGCGGCCCAGGGTCAGTATGGCATACAGTAGGTGCTCCATAAGTGTTTGCTGAAAGGATGGATGGAAAAGCTGCAAATTCCAGACAGGAGCTGGCTTGCCCAAAGACCCCAGCTTCATGAGTCACCCGTGCGTGCCAGGCCCGTCGCCACGCGCGTCTTTCCAAGGCCATCTCCAGGCGCTCCTCGGGGCCACCAAGGTTGGGACACGTGCGCTTCCTTGCAGGACACATGTCTGACACCCTGGCACACGCATACCCACGTCTCCCCCGTGTGCTGAGCGTCCACTCCGTCGCTGGCCTTCCAAAGGCTGCCCGGCTACAGTCTCTCCCCCGGAGAGAGCGCACACTCGGGTGGCCCCTGAGCGCAGGCTGGAGGCGCGCTGGGCGCAGGGCTCTCCACGGTGCCCCCCGCGGATGGCTATCTGGCTGCCCATCAGCGCGCGGATCTGCGGTGGTAAATGCTGCATTCGATGGCGGGCGCATTTGTTGTGCGCTCTCTGAAAGGGCTCTGATAATCTGGAAGGCAGAGATAAGGAACACCATTTATTCCGCGGCACTTTGGAAACAATTCCCAACCCTGTACAACCCCATTCTCGGGCAGCCTCCGGGAGCCGGGCAGATAACGATTGGCTATTCATTATCTTCGCCGGGAACAAAGATTAGCCGGCTGAGATGAAAAATTACCCCGGACAGCGGCACAGCCCCGCGCTGGACCCCCCCTGCCCGCTGTCGCCACCGCCTCTTGGGTGCCCCGCCCGGCGCACGACTTCTGCGCTCCTGACCCGGCCTCCTCTGGAGACTCAGCCTCCTGCGCTCTCCTTGGCGCCCCCGGCCAGGCCCAGCCCCGGGTCTCTGTGTGTCTGTCCATCCACCAAGACCATCCTCTTTCCTTTGTGTGGCCTCTCCTCTGTCTCTTTGCTGTGGTCCCTTTTCGCTTCTTTCCTGGGACCCTGAACAGCCTCTGTCTTCCCCCTCTATCTACATGTTTTTCTTTTTTCTTTTTTTGGAAGGGGGGGACTCGGGATGGAACTCAGGGGTGCTCCACCACGGAGCCACATCCCAGCCTGTTGTTTGACTATTTTATTTAAACACAAAATCCTGCTGAATTGCTTAGGGCCTTTCTTAAGTTGCTGAGATTGGCCTCCAACTTGCAATCCTCCTGCCTCGGCCTCCCCAGCTGCTGGGGTGGCAAGCAGGCACCACCGGAACTTGGCTGTATCTTTTTCTCGTTTCTGTCTGTCTCTGGTTAACAGCTTCTCTGCCTTTAGTCCCCGTCTCTTTGATCCTTTCTGCCACTTGTCATTTATTTCGGAGGGTCCCCCCAGCCTCTAACCCCCATCCCTCTCTGTTACTTAAAAAAAAATTAATAATAATAATAATAATTGTCCTTGGGGCTGCCTGTCTTTCTGAGTCTCAATTTCTCTCCATCGAACCCACTCTGGACTGACTTCTCCAAAGCCTCCTCCTCCCACCGGCCCTCTGAAGGCCATGGCCAGACTCAAATCCACAGACTGCGACCATCCAGCCCAAGAGGTGGACAGTGGTGTGGGATGAGGGGGGGGGCTGGACCTTGAACCTGCCCCCCCCCTGCAAGGGAACAAGACTCAACTAGAAAAGGTCCTGCAGTCACCTGGGGTCCCCAGAGTGATTTGCTCTGAGCTCCAGGACCCTGGCCCTCCCCAGCAGGGACAGGGAGGGGGGGTGGGGTTGAAAGCCGGTGGTCCCAGGGAGACTACCTCATTAGAGCAGTTATTCAGCATGGTGCTGGCGACGGCAGATAAGCCTTATCAGCTCATCTCCCCCTCCCACAGACAGACGGAAAGGGCCTGGGCAAATGGCACCCTGGAGCTCAGCTGGCTGTGTGCCCTGGTGGTTTGGAGAGGTGCAGATACCCTCATGCGCCTTCAGGATGGACCACTCCGTCACCCAGGGACATCCACGTCCCAGACCCAGAGAGAGTAGCCCTGGGCAGAGAAACACACCCAGTTCCAAGACCCAGCCAGCCCCTAGATCATCAGGGGAAACCGTCCCCACAAATACAGAGACAGGCCACCCCCAGTCCCCATCGATTTCCTACTAGAGATGGACACAGATGTGGAGACGCATCTGCCTACACCCGCCCCTTCCCAGCGCCACCCCGTTCAAAGTTCCACGTTGATACTTAACGCTGTTCAAGGCAGGATGGGCAGACAGACAGACAGACACCCAGGTTCCCAGAAACACCCTCGATAAGCAGAATTACACATGGAGAGCCACACTGTAATGACCACACACAGATCTGTCCACTCAGGGCGCCCAGGCAAAACTGCTTCGCGTGGACAAAGGGGGACACTCAAGTCATTTACCAACACTTGGAAAGACCCGCCTGCTTCTGATCCCAGAAACTCAGGCACAGGGACACACTCCCAGTCCCTCAGACAGACTTTCCCCTGGGTGACAATAAAAAGCAGTGCTCTAAAAAAAAGAAACAAAAAGTCACTCAGTGACCTACGACCCAGTGCACAAACTCTCAGGAACCCGCAAGAAGAAATGGATGCATTACTATCGTTGGTTTTGCAAATATTTTTTGGGCACCGACCAAGACGTGCAGACTCAAGCAGGACACAGCGAGTCGCGTGCTTGGAGCGACAGAGTTACCGCCAGACTTGGAGAGAGACCCATCACTATCATTTCGGTGGCTCGGGAGGCTGAGGCAGGAGGATCCAAAGTTGTAAGCTAGCCTCAGCAATGGGGAGGCCCTAAGCCACTCAGGGAGACTCTGTCTCTAAATAAAATGCAAAATAGGGCTGGGGATGGGGCTCAGGGGTTAAGCACCCCTGGATTCAATCCCTGGTACCCCCCCCCAAAAAAAAACAGAAAGACTCATGAATGTTAGAGATGAGAGGGGACAGACCCACTCCCTCTCTGGGGCACACCTGGGCCCATGACTATGGATTCTCCCAGTCCTTCCAGGGCAAAGCACTTTCTCTTTGAACCTAAGGCCACTGTGTCCCTAAGTGACTGAAATGGGAGGCGTGCGCAGATTGATCGGGCCCTTGTTGGTACTAGATTTCCGTCTAGGACAAACCGAGAAGCCCTCTGGGCAGGGGACTTCCCTCCCTAACCTTCTAAGGACAAGCGTCCCTGCTCCATTTTTCGCCTTCTGTAGCCTGAGATGGAAACTCCACAAACTCCATTCCCCAAATGTTCAGGTCCCTCTCCGGAGTGGGAAACTGGGGGGGCTTATCCTCTCTACTTCACCAAAGCAGCTTGGGAGTCGTGTGTGACTGTGTGTCAGAGTGTGGAGGGACCTTTGAGTGGATGCACCCACATTTGTGTTGTGTTGGTGTGACCCAGATGGCCCTTTTGGGGGATAGCCACTGAGCCACGTTGGTACCCACGCACGTGTGAGTGTCCGTGTGGACACTGGTTGGAGTGGATTGGAGAAGGAAGACAAGCGACTGTGGCCGTGCGTGGGTCAGTGTGTGTGTGTGTGCCCATGGTCCCCCGATGGTCCCCAGGGAGACTTTCAGAAGAGAGCCATCATGGGAGGCTGTGCCCTGGGATCAAGAGCCGGGGCGCGCGTGTGTGTGTGTGCGCCCGGGAGAGGGCGGGAGTGGCCTGGAGCGTGCATCAGAAGGGTGTGTGCGCTTCGAGTGTCTAGTGGCCCTGTGGCCGGCCAGGCTGGCGACTGGACCCTGCAGACTGGGACTCAGAGCCCGGGGACACTCTCCTGCCCCCCTGCGGCGCTCCAGCAACCCCTCCCGGGGGGGAGGAGGGGTGTCCAAATAAAACCCAGCCGCGCTGCGGGCCAGGAGGGAGGGAAGAACTCGACGGGGGTGGCGAGCCAGCACCGTGGAGGCTCCTCGCTCGCCCTAGCCGGCCACCCCACCCGCTTGGGTCGCGCATAAGGCGGACAAAAGCAGCCGGATGCGCACCATGCGGTGGCTGGGCGCGCCTCTTGGCCTGGGCTGGTGAGCGCTGCCACTCCGCGCGCGCCCCGGGTGCCACGCAGCGCACCGCACCGAGTTCCCAGATCCGCTCGGACCCCATCCGCCTGGGGGCGCCGCGCACTGCGACTCACCGACTCACCGGGGTAAGTTCCCTCCAAGGCCACCCGCCTGTCCCGGGCCTTTCCAATTCCGGGGTTGGCACCCGATCCTTTGCGCCCCGTGGCCCCTACGTTTGGGGCTCTTCCTGGATCTGCCAGCGGCTCTAACTTCAAATCCCAAGGCCTGATCTGGCTGTCCCCAGGTGCATTTTTTGTTTTTGGAGACCTGGGGCAGCAGCAGGCCCGCCTGGGGCCTTCCTGCCTCGCCATGGCTCAGAGCGCAGGGCCTGGAGAGCTCAGCCTTCCCTAGAGCTCCGCGAAGCGCTCCCCCTCCCGGTTCCAGGAGATGGAGCCTTTGTCTCGGCGGGTCCCTCACCCCGGGGCCGCTGCAGCCGATGCGCCAGAGCCGGGGACCGCTGAGCCGGCGGCTGCACCTGCCGGCTGGTCCCGTGCGCCGGCTTTGCGCGGCTTAACCCGGCTCGCTCCTGCGTGCGCCCCCGCGTGACGCACCCCGCGGCCTTTTATCCAGTGTGGCTGGGGGGGGGGGTGCAGGTGGGGGACAGTGCCCGATCTGGAAGTCTCTCCCCCCCTTGTCCCAAGCCGGGAGGGAGTCAGAATCCGTTTTGTGGCATTTCAATCCCCGCGGGGCGCGGGGGATCTGCAGCCCGGAGGCGGAGGAGGCCGGACCCGGGGGCCTTTAGAATCAGCTCCGGTGGAGAGGCCAGGCTTGGATGGGGAGGGCGGAGTTGACCCAGCTGCCAAAGGAAAGGTCCCCGCGGGTTTGGTGGCTGCATCTTTCCCAAGCAAGCAAGGAAAAAAAAATTTCGTTGGTTTTGGAAAAAAGAAAAAAAAAAATAGCTACATCTGTCCGGGGTTGGGAACATCTGGCTCCGGGTCTACGCAGCATCCCGCGCTGGGATTCGTTTAGGAGCAAGCAGGATTCAGGAACCAGGTAGGGTGAAGGCGACTGGCCAGGCGTCTGGAGAGCGTGTCCCAGCAGGGTTGACGAATTGCAAACAAATGGCGTCTAACGAAACGGATTTAGCAGTTGCCAAGGGTCTGTTCAGCCAGGGGCTCTGGGTAGCACCCGAGCTGTTAGGAGGAGGAGGTTAGAAACGCAGGGGGATTGTCCGCAGGTCTCAGGTGGCCGCCCTGTCCTCAGGAGGTGGAGGTTGGAACCGGGTAAGGAGACCTAGAATCTCCCCAGGTGCCTCGGGTTCAGGCCGTTGAGGTCCACTAAGACCGTCCGCCCCGGTCTCTAGTCTCCAAAGGAATCAGTCTGGAAGGGCAGAGCCCGCTTCCTAAGGAGGCCCAGGAAGAGGACACTGAGGGTGGGGTGGGGTGGAGTGGGGGTGAAAGAGGAGGCCAGGACCCCAGAAAGAGCAAGCCTCCTGATTTGTTAAAAAAAAAGAGGGTGCTAGAATCCTGGTCCCCCTCTTGCGGGGAACCTCTGCAGGGCTGGCTGGTCTGAGTACCCGGTCTAGGGGGACTTCTGAAGCTTACTAATGACCCTACTTCCTCCCCACGATCTTTCGAGATTTATTGGCAGTGTGGCCAAGTGAAAGTCCCTAAAAAAAATTAAAAAGAAAAGAGAAAAGAAAGATGCGGAGATAATGGGGTTCCTTGAAACCCCCCCACACACACACACCTTTCCTGCAGGCTCATTTAGGAAAAGCCTAGAAAAATTAAAAGGCCAACTTATGATCCCAAAGGGGCCGCCTCGGATGAGTGAGGTTTAAACAAAGGGCCCAGAGGGGATTTGGACCCAAGTGGGAGACCTGGGCAGTAGTGACCGGGTCTGGCATTTGGCAGCCTTTTTGTAGAAGCGAGGTCCTGCTCTAGAGCCGGGCCTGGATGAGTCGGGGCCCTGGACTCTCCTGTAGAACCATCCCTGGGGCCGATGGGGGGGGGGGGAAATCCCTTGAAAAGGGCCGTTCTCCAATTCCATTTTTTTCTCGGCCAACTTTCCTCAGTCTCCGGGAAAAAAAAAAAAATCTTGTCTCGGTGTAGAGAACGTGACAGCTCCTTAGTGCCATCAAAAGCAGCATTTTTTGCTCAGGATCGAACAAGACCAAAGTCAAAAATGGACCAGGAGGATTTTATCCCTCTGGAGTGGTCCCGTGGACACCATCATCCGATGCATAAAGTGGAATGAATCTGCTCTGATCGGGGCAGGGGGGGGGGGGACGGTCACCTCAATACCGGAGCCCGGGGCTGATCCAGGGGACTGACCTGGCTGGCCATCGCCGCCGGAGGTTTGCTGGAGACTCGAAGTGGCACAACTGTCTGGCAGGCCTAGCGGGTGAGGCTTTGGAAGATTGTCCGTCGGTCCGTCTGGCTCGTGCATACATGGAGAGCGCAGGCCCCCAGTTTATAGGCCGTCTCGGCTTATGGCTACCGGGCGTGGCACCTGGCTGTCCCACGCGGGTTCCTTCCTGGCTGGAAAACCCAGCGATCCCGCATCCAACGCAGGAGTCCACACCTCGGGGGAGGCTCAGGCCGGGCCAGCTGGCTGCTTGCAGTTTCCAGAAAGGCATCTCCAAGGGTCTCCAGGGACCTGGCGGAATCCCCTTGTTCTTTGGATTCGCTCTGCGCCCAGAGCGCGGGTAGCCGGGGCCGGTGCGGGTCTCGGGAGGCCCCTCCTCAAGCGTCGCCTAAGCGCCCGGCTAAGCGGCTGCGATTTTCTGAGCTGCCGATCGGGGTAATTGAATCTCCTCCTGCGCTTTGCTCTCTGCCAGGCCGGCGACAGCGCTTGGGGTGAGGTTTGGAGAGGGGACCTGGACCAGCCGATCCCCTTTCCCCCTCCCCTCGGAGGGACCGAGACCCCATTCCTGTAGCTGAAATTGCACCCCCCTGTCCCCTGCACCCCAGATCGGGAGGATCATTGAAACCCAACGTTGGGGACAAAAAAATAAAATAAAATAAAGGCGCATTACCTGCTTTCCCGGGTGCTCCGAGCTGCCCACCTCCGTTTGCGATCGTGGCCGGGGCGAGACGCTTCCGCTCGGCTCCGGCGATCACCGCCCCGCGGCGGGTACAGCTTCCCGCCGCTGAGTCCCTGCCTGGTTCCAGCTCGGTGGCCTTGCAGAACAACAGAAGGGGGGGACGTGTCCCCAGGCCGTGGGGGTCTTGGAGAGGCTCCTGTTCAGGCCCAAAGGGGCTCCAAGCTCCGTGGCGATCTCATTTTACGCGTGGAGGCAGGATCGGGAGCTGCAGGAGGGGACACAGGCGTGGGGCTCGGGCCAGACCCAGCGCCTGGCGGGGAGCGCGCACCTGGAGTCCCGGAGGTCACTCACCTGCCACGCTGGGTCGCCGAGGCCCGGAGCCAGCGGCCTTGCGCTCCTGTTGCCCGGCCCCCGCGCGCCCTTCTCGGGGAGGAACGGAATTCCAAGCAGCCCAGGCCCCGCGCTCTCCGGAATGGAAAGGATCGGGAAGGACGCAGCCGGTGGCCAGGGGGCGCCTGGAGGGTCCCCTCCGGCCGGGTTTCCAGCTCCACGGAGCTCTGCCTCCCCCAGCCCCGTGCCTCTACCTGCGCCGGGGCCTCGGACAAACAGACTCCAGACGCACGGGCAGGAGAGGAGGCCCCAGCCACGAGCCTGCGCCCCCATTTGGCCAGCCTGGTGCTGGCCTGGGAGGGGGTGACCGGGGCGCGCCCCGAGGATCTTGAGCCTGGGCCCGGCGCCCCCCGAAGCCACGGGGACCGAGGGCTTTCCTCCCTCCTCGGATTATTAAAAAGTTCATTTCCTGGCGAATCGGGTGACGTCAGGGGCCCGGCGTCGCGGTGGCGGGGCCGCCGGGGCCGGAGAAGCCGCCTCCAGTTACCCAATTACCGACTGTCAATCCCGCCGCCCCTCCCCCATTCTCGGTGTGTAAAGGGGGGGGTCGGGACCCCAGCCCTCCTCCTGCCCCCCCTCCCGGTCCCACCTGGGATCCTGCTGGATGGGTACCCCGATCGTGGGCCCAGCCAGGGGACAGGAGCTGCAGGGCGTTCCACGACCCCCGCCCATCACCCCGCACCTGTTTAAGTTCCCCCAAACCTCTTTAGGGGGGATCCCCTCTGTCCTCGGTCAGAGGCTCCTTTGGAACCTCGGTCTCTGGGCTCTCTGGACGGTGGGTGGCAGCTAGATGGGCGCACCCGGCCCCATGAAGCCCCGGAGATGGATCCCCGGGATGGAGGTGTGTGCGTCCCCGGTTCCAGGTGACCAGGGGGACGCAGTGCTCAGAGGCCACCGCCTGCCCCCTCCCTGGGGATCGCCTCCGGGGAGTTTAAAACAAAAAGCCTTCTCTCTGCCCCGGGGCATCTTCCTGGAGCCAAGGCTGGCGCCAGTCCGGGTCTCCTCGGCCTCGCCCCAGGCTGTTCAGCCCGGTGGTCTGCGAAGGCCACGCCCGGGAGAGGAATGACCCACCCGCTTTGTGGAGCCGCCGGCCAGGCCACCTCCACGGGGTCAGCCACAGCCCAGAGCGGCCGCGCGTCCCCAGGCCCAGGTGCCCTCCAGGGCCGGCTAGATCCTGCGGTGTCCACTCCTGCTGTCCCAACAGCTGCCCTTGGAGTCCTCCCCACCCCCCCACCCCGCCCAGGCAGCCCCCAGAGTTGGGGGAGGGAACGACCTGGGAAGGTAGTTGGGCTCCGAGTGACCACGATCAGCGGGAAAAGAGGTGGGACTTCCTGCGAGGGACTGGAGGGACTGGGGTCCCCCAGAGGAGGACACCCGGACAGCGGGCAAGGGCCGGGCTACTGGGAAGAAAGGGGGACCCAGTGGATGGTTAGTGACTGCGAGAGGGGACCAGGTTGGAGGGATCCAACCGGGTCCCCAAGAAGGGACCCGCGAGTGACGGTCCCTGGAGGGGGGCGTTGGCAGCAGGGGCTGCCGGGAGGGCGCTGGGAGGGGGGCCCCCGCCAACCGAGGGGGCCCGCCCGCGGGTCAGTCCTGGAGTCCAGCGGACCGGGAGTTGCGGGCTCAGCCAATGGGAGGCGGAGGCTGGGCGGCGCGCGGCGCTGATTGGCTGGCGCCGGCTTCTTAGGCGTGCGCGGCCCCCGCTTCATGTCTGTGCAGGAGTCGGCAGCTGGCGCCAGGGCGGCCGGAGGATGCCGAGGGGCCGGAGCCGGGCGGGCCCGAGGCCGAGGCGCGCGCTGTCCCCCTCCCCTGCCCCGTGAGCCCCACCAGCCACCGACGCGCTGTGGCTGGGCCAGCCACCCCGGGGACGGTCGTGGGTGCTCCCGCACTTTCCACTGCTGGGTCCCCCCCCTCCCTGCGGCGCTGCGTGTGTAAGTTTGGGGTGCGGAGCGGACGTGGGGGGGGGACCTTGGGGGTGGCTCCTAGTTTTGGAGGGGTCCCTGCTGGGGTCCAGGTAGCCGTGTGATCGCTTCGCTGCGCCTCGACGAGGGGGTCCAGACGGTGCCACTTGGGAGTGCGCTCGGGGGGCTTTGGCGCTCAGCCCGCGGGGCTGCGTGTGCGTGTTCTGGGGACGCGGAGGGGGTCGCGATCGGAATGGGGCACCCTCGGCCAAGTGTAGGTGTGTCCGTGTCGCTGGAGTCCTGCGTCCCCGTGGGGGTCCGGGCTCGCCTCTCCAACTTTTTTTTTTTTTAGCCCGAGTTCGTGCGTGGGTGTCCCGGGAGGGTGGGGGGCTCCGTAGACTTAAGTGCCTTCTGGGGAGCGTTTGTTTAGGGTCATCGGGTGTCAGGGCTCGTCCCCGTCTGTGACCCCCCCCCCGGGTGGCTTCGGGATCGCGGGGGTCACCCTGCGAGTGTGCGTGGCCGAACCCCCTCCCCCGCGTTCCTTTCGTTTTGAACCTTTTGCGCTTTCCTCCCACCCGGGAACCGGGTCCTGCGCGGGGGGCTCCGTGACGCGCGCGTGCTGGGACTTGGAGGGGGTCAGACATTAGCCGTCAGTCTCAGACCCCCCTCCTCTTTCCTTCTGTCGCCCAGGGCCGCGGCTACCTCCTCCCAGATCCCGAGCCGCTGCCTCCGCCGCCGCGGGCCATGGAGGTGGCGCCGGAGCAGCCTCGCTGGATGGCGCACCCCGCGGTGCTGAACGCTCAGCACCCCGACTCGCACCACCCGGGGCTGGCGCACAACTACATGGAGCCGGCTCAGCTGCTGCCCCCGGACGAAGTGGACGTCTTCTTTAATCACCTCGATTCGCAGGGCAACCCCTACTACGCCAACCCGGCCCATGCGCGGGCACGCGTCTCCTACAGCCCGGCGCACGGTGAGCCTGGGGCCTGGGGCTGGTGGGGGACTGGGAAGCCCAGGCTCCGCGCGCCAGGCCACGCCAGGGAGGGGGTGGCCGAGCCGGGCTGGCCGCTTCCCGGATGTGGGATCCGCAGGAATCGGAGCTGCTAAGAAAATCGGGCTGAGAAAGATGGGGGGACACCGGCCCCTTGGAGACGATCTGGAACCTGGAGGGCTTTGCCCCATTTCCAGCTGGCCCCGGCCGACCCCCGGGATGGTGGGGGGATCCCTTCTGGGCGCCACTTGTCCTTTAACTGGGGACTGACATTCTTGATGCTTAGCAGTGTTTCTGGTTTTCTCTGCTGGTCGGTGGTGGATGGGGATGGCGTGATTCTGCGTCCCCACCCTGATCCCCGATCCCTCTGCACACAGCTCGCCTGACCGGAGGTCAGATGTGCCGTCCCCACTTGCTGCACAGCCCCGGGTTGCCCTGGCTGGATGGGGGCAAAGCAGCCCTGTCGGCCGCGGCCGCGCACCACCACAATCCCTGGACCGTGAGCCCCTTTTCCAAGACCCCCCTGCACCCCTCAGCTGCCGGAGGCCCTGGAGGACCCCTCTCCGTCTACCCAGGGGCGGCTGGAGGCAGCGGGGGAGGCAGCGGAGGCTCGGTGGCCTCCCTCACCCCCACGGCCGCCCACTCTGGTTCCCATCTCTTCGGCTTCCCACCGACGCCACCCAAAGAGGTGTCTCCAGACCCGAGCGCCACGGGGGCCGCCTCCCCGGCCTCGTCTTCGGCAGGGGGCAGCGCAGCAGCCCGGGGGGAGGACAAGGACGGTGTCAAGTACCAAGTGTCACTGACCGAAAGCATGAAATTGGAGGGCGGTAGCCCTTTGCGCCCAGGTCTGGCCACCATGGGCACGCAGCCTGCCACCCACCACCCCATCCCCACCTACCCCTCCTATGTGCCCGCCGCTGCGCACGAATATGGCAGCGGACTCTTCCACCCAGGGGGCTTTCTGGGTGGTCCAGCCTCGAGCTTCACCCCGAAGCAGAGGAGCAAGGCACGATCCTGCTCAGGTAAGTTCAGGCGCCTGGGGTTTGGTGAACGGGCGCGCGCTTTTTTGGCTTTGGCCGCAGGGACTTGGATTTGGGAGAGGGCACAGTGTCACCCTCCTAGTTGACAGAATGGGATCAAAGGGAGCCTGAAACTTTTGCTCTGAAGCAAAGTTCCCTTTCCCCACCCGCCATCCCCTCTCCAAGGTTGACCCGAGCGCACGAGGAGAGTCCCCTTTCCCTCTCTTTGAGTCCCCTGAAAACTCAAGGCACCCTCGTGGTTGCAAGTGCAAGAAGGCGCAGGGCGCCTTAGGTGAGGTCGGCCGGTCCTGGGGACATGTGTGTACGTGTGTCTTGGGAGCATTTCAAAGTCTCCAGACCCTAAAGGAATCTGGTTCTCTAACTCAAGTCCCATCTTGGAATCTGATGGCTCCTGATCTCCTTGGGAGATTTTTTTTTCCCCCAAAGCAAAATTCCCAAGACTTGTCCCCCCACCCCCTTAACCACCCCGCATGCCCTTCACTCTCCCTCCCCGAGGGCTAGAGCTAGGGGACAAGTGGACGCAGCCACGGGTACCCGCACCGCTTGGCCAGCAGTGGCCAGATCAAACTAGGATTGTCCAGGAATGTGGCCTTGGGGCAATGACCTGTGGCTAACACCGGGTTCCAGCGGTCTCCATCTCCTCCCCAATCCCTTTAGAGTCAGGGAGAAGGGAAAAGATTTTTCTAAGTTTTTTTAAAATTTTATTTTAAACTCTGGAGTCTCCTTACCGAAGCGTCCCTTTCTGGGCCACTTTAGTTTTGAACTCAATCAGGAAGAATTTCCCAGGGAATGTGACAGCGAGTCCCCTGCTTGATGGCCGCAGGGTCCCCACTCTGATGGCTCTCTCTTCTCCTCCAAGTTTGTTTGGTGTGTGATTTGCAATCCAGATGGTCATGAAAAAACAAAACAAAACAAAACAATAACAAGAAACAACTCACTAAACAACTAAGAAAAACAACAACAACTCCCCCCCCCTTCCAAGTCCAACACGAAAGGAACTTTCTATTTATTCTATTTGAAAGAGCAATAACTTCAATCCTTGTCCAGGTCTGAATTCTTAGGGTTTCTGGGAGAAAAGTTGGGGGGGGGGGAATTTTTCCTTCTGATCCAGAACTCAAGTTGGGGGAGCCAAGGGCTCCCCGAGATGCCAGATGGAGTTGGGGGAACAGATCAGGCAGGGTCCCCCTCTGGGGAAGGAACAAAGGCGTCCTAGGTCCAGCTATGGGACGCCTGTTCTGCTCTGTCTGGGCAAGTCTGGCCTAGCTTTGGGCTGCCTGGGGGCTCCCTCCCTGTGATCTTGTCCGTGAAGGGGGACCCGCATCTCTCCCTGCCCTCTCTCCAGAAGGCCGAGAGTGTGTCAACTGCGGAGCCACGGCCACTCCTCTGTGGCGGCGAGATGGGACCGGTCACTACCTGTGTAATGCCTGTGGGCTGTATCACAAGATGAACGGGCAGAACCGACCCCTGATCAAACCCAAGCGGAGACTGGTAGGAGTGGGGTACCTGGGACGGAGATGGGGGGGCTGCACCCCTGGGTGGAGGGAGGGAGGACACCCTCTTGAAATTTTTTTAATTCTTAAAAATCATCTTGGGGGGAGCCAGGCGCGCGCCAGTCATCCTAGCAACTCCAGGGGGGGAGGCCGAGGCAGGAGGATTGCAAGTTGGAGGCCAGCCTCAGCAAAAGCGAGGTCTATTCTAAGCAATTTAGCCAGACTCGGTCTCTCAATAAAATACAAAATAGGGCTGGGGATGGGGCTCAGTGGTTGCGTCTCCCTGAGTTCAATCCCTGTTGTTGTTTTTTTTTTCAAAAAGAAAAGAAAAAATCATTTAGGGATCAGTTTGGGTCGGATCATCCTTCTTTCTAGCCAGATTTCTTTTCTTTTCTTTTTTTAGTCTAGATTTCTTTCTGTGCAACCCACCAGCTACTCTCCATGCCTCTCAGCTTGCAGGGGGTAGAGGCAGGGATCCCCCAAATCAAGTGTCTAAAGGTCTCCAACCTTGTCCTCTGGCCTCTACTTAACTTTTCAAAAAAATAATAATAATAATAATAACTAATTAAAAAAAAATAAGGCCATGAAGTAATTTTCCCTGTGGCCGACCCTAGTGGCCCTCCCCTGTTCCCAACACAAGCACTTTGTTTAAATAAAACACACACACACACCAGCCACCCCCCTCCAAAAAAAAAAAAAAACCTTTATTATTATTTTTTCCATAGAGTCACCTATACTGGGTATTTTCATTTGAGTGATTTTGAAAAAAAAAAAAAAAATTAGTGGCCTTTCGGATCTCCTGTTGAAGTTTCCTATCCGGACATCTGCAGCCCAAAGATAAGGAAACTCAGTGTATCTGTTTCCGGACTCTGCAAAGGGTTTTAGAGGCGGCTCAGGCTAGGTCCTGCCTCTCGCTGGGCTGTTTTGAAATTTCTAATACCCTCCACTGTGCAAATAATGCGTAAAATGCTAAGAATAATAAATACGTATATATTTTTTGCAGGGCCAAGTGATTTATGAGGGCTTAAATCGTTTGCTGGCTTTGGGGGGTCCCCCCTTTCCCCACCCCACCCCCTTGGAGGGAGGGTGCAGGGAGAGCCTGGGAGGGGGAGGGAGGGAGGGAGGGGTGGAGGTTGAGGCTGGTGGCCCCTGAGTCAGAATTCCAGCTTCAGGGACTGAGTCATGGAGACCCCTCCCTGCCCCAGCCGGGTGGCTGTCCCTGGTCCCCCCTGTGACCTCAGCCTCCTCCTCACCCCACGCTGGCTGCTTGGTGACTTTAGTCTGAGGTTCTCCGGGAAGTTTTGGGGGGCTCTGGAGTAGGTAGATCTGGGATAGAGCGGTTGGGGACAAGATCCTCTTTCCCAGCGTCCCCGCCGGGCCTGTCCTGGGGACAGGGACTCAGGGAAGGGGGCGGGGCTTCGGGTTAGCACTATTACTCTGGCGTCTGGGGACATCAGACCGCTGGGATCATTCTTAGGGAGATGGAGGTGTCTTCCTACACTCTCCTGGGGGGCCCCAGCCTTGGGCCACCTGGAACTAGTGATCACTAGAAATGTCCCCATTTAAAAAAAAAAATTGCATCTTAAAATTGTATTAAGTGACAGTAAACTTTCATTTAAATAGCCCCAGGGGGCGAGTCGGTGGCTGTAGGGGACAGAGGAGCCCCGCACTGTCCGAAGCTGGCATTTTCCACCCCCTCTCCCTCCAGGGCAGCTGGCTACGGGGTCTCCCTGCCCTGGTCTCAGGGACACGGATGACTCACCCAGGATTTTTTTTTTTTAATTTTATTTTTCTTTCTTTCTTTCTTTTTTCTTTAGTTGTAGATGGACACAATACCTTTATGTCATTAATTTATTTCCATGAGGTGCTGGGGATCGAACCCACGGCCTCCCACGTGCTAGGCCACCACTCTCCTACCGAGCCATCGCCCCAGACCCTCACCCAGAATTTATTTTATTCCTTTGGGTGGTGGGGAGTTACCAGGGATTGAACTCAGGGGCCCTCCGCCACTGAGCCCCATCTCCAGCCCTTTTTGTATTTTTACTTAGAGACAGGGTCTCCCTGAGTTGCTTAGGGCCTCGCTTTGGCTGAGGCTGGCTTTGAACTCACGATCCTCCTCTCTCAGCCTCCCAAGCCGCTGGGATGACAGGCGACTCACCCAGGATTTTTTAAGGGGAGTCGTGGAGGAGGTGAGAGAAGCAGCTTCCGTCCCAGGGGCTGCAAAGGGGCGGACCGAGGTCATGGGTGCCCACTGTAGTTCACAGTCTCCTCTAGGGTCTCAGTTTCCCCATTCTGTTGTTGTTGTTGTTATTATTATTATTATTATTATTACCAGGGATTGAACCCAGGGGCGCTTCACCACGGAGCCCCTTTTCCCAGCCCCTTTTTCTATTTTATTTAGAGACAGGGTCTCGCTGAGTTGCTTAGGACCTCCCTAAGTGGCTGAGGTTGGCCTCCACCTTGCGATCCTCCTGCCTCAGCCTCCGGAGCCGCCAGGATTCCAGGCCCTTGGGTTCTGTGATCCTCCGCTCCATCTAGTTCTCAGCTTCTAAAACGCCCTGGTTTTGAGCTGCCTGATGCCTGGGCTCTGAGATCCCCCGGTTCTCAGCTGGCGGTGGCAGAGGGCGGGGGGGGGGGTCTGGGGACGGGTGGCCCCTGGCGTGGCGGGCGGAGGGAGGTCGAGGCGGGGGCGTGGGAGCCCAGCCCGCTGACGCCGCCCCTCCGCTCCCAGTCGGCCGCCCGGAGAGCTGGCACCTGTTGTGCGAATTGTCAGACGACAACCACCACCTTATGGCGCCGGAATGCCAACGGGGACCCGGTGTGCAACGCCTGTGGCCTCTACTACAAGCTGCACAATGTGAGTCCGCCGCCCCGCCCCTCCCCGGGGGACCTGAGCTCTTTGTGCTGCCCGGGCGCGACGGTCCCCTCCCGGCCACAATCTCCAGTTTGGCTTGGCTTGGGAAGCCGCTGTCGCCTGCCAGAGCCACCAGGAGGGCTGCGCCTAGGAAAGGGGAGGGGCTGCTCTGAGCAGCTCTGGAGGGGGGAGGGGATCAGGGTCAAGGTCAGGGTCAGGGTCAGGGGAAGATCTGGGGGTGCAGGGGGCGGAGGGCTGCGCCTAGGAAAGAGGAGGAACTGCCCTGAGCAGCTCTGGAGGGGGGAGGGGATCAGGGTCAGGGTCAAGGTCAGGGTCAGGGTCAGGGGAGGATCTGGGGGTGCAGGGGGCGGGCAGCGAGGTGACCTAGGGACTGGGGGTATGGCTGGTGCCACCCGATCAAGACACCACTCTTCCAGAAATGGAGATAGGGAGTTTGATAGGCATGGAAGGGGGCGTGGCTAAGACCTAATCCACGCCCCCTGGAGACCACGCCCCCGAAGACCACGCCCCCCGAAGACCACGCCCCCTGGAGACCCCTGACTCCCCAATCCAGGTCTCCTATGTCCCCTGCAGAAGCAGCCAGTTAGGGGATCTGGTCCAGGGAGGGGGATCTGGTCCTGGAAAGGGATCTGGTCCTGGGCAGGGGACAGTCCCCAGCCCCTCCCCCGCCCTCTGTCCCCTTCACGGTGTCGCGGTGGTCCCTGTCCCAGGTTAACCGGCCGCTGACCATGAAGAAGGAGGGAATCCAGACCCGCAATCGGAAAATGTCCAACAAATCCAAGAAGAGCAAGAAGGGGACCGAGGGTCTGGAGGAGCTGTCCAGGTGCATGCAGGACAAGTCGTCGCCCTTCAGTGCCGCCGCCCTGGCCGGACACATGGCCCCCGTGGGTCACCTCCCGCCCTTCAGCCACTCGGGACACATCCTGCCCACGCCCACGCCCATCCATCCTTCCTCCAGTCTCTCCTTTGGACACCCCCACCCCTCCAGCATGGTGACCGCCATGGGCTAGGGGACAAGCCACCCCGCTGGACAGAGACAGACGGACAGACAGAGGCGGGTGGCCCTTGCAGGGCACGCAGCTCCCAGGAACGGGAGGTGGGGGGACCCGTCCGTTCCGCTGCCCACCCTTCTCTGGACACTGACACCAGCCCAGCCGGAGCCTAAAGCCACCTCGTCCTCGCCTTGGAAGGCCACCGTACCCGGGGCCCAGCAGCCTGTCTGCAAGTTACTGTGAATCTTTTTCACCTGGGCTGGGAGGTGGCCCGTCCAGGTGACATTTCCTTCATGAACAAGGTTCAGAGAGCAAAAAAAAAAAAAAAGACCCTTTATGGTGACAGAGGTGAGGACCTGGAGGTCTCTAGGGGACCAGGGCTCTCGGGGACAGATGTCTGCGAATCTCAGCCTGTGTCCCCTTTTTCCTGTGGCCGCTCTCTCTCTCTCTGAAACAGCTGGGCTGAGCCAAGGCCAAGAGGGGTTGCTGGTGGTTGGTGGCAGTGACCAGGGGACGCCAGCCTTGTGCACCCTGAGAGCTGGCCGGGCCCGAGAAGGCAGAGACAATCGCGGGCGGTCCCCACAGTGGTTCCCAGGCCGGGGCGGGTCACAGGAAGGAAACAACATTTTTCTTGAAAGGGGAAACGTCTCCCCAGATCCCTCCCTCGGCTTTAAGGCCAGAGCTGGACCCGCGGCCCCCCGAGGTATGCGCCCTTCACGGGGCCCAAAGCCATGATTGGCCTCCATTCTCTGCCAGGTAGACCTCTGTAAATACATCCTTTTTCTGACCACTCCCCCTTTCCCACTCTGAGACAAAGAAGAAACTATTAAAAATGGAAAAAAAAAAATCAAACTGCATACGTTGAACTCACCGATGAGTTAATTGTCTTATTTTGAAACTAGTTTTTGGGGTCCAGTCAATGATAGGTGACCCACAGGAGCCCTGCTATATATATACATATATAAAATTACAAACCAATGGGGGAGCTTGGAGATTATTTCTGGAAAGTTCTTGGATCCCACAATTCCTAGCAGGAGAGCTGGGAGTACCAGCAACGGGGAGGGGCTGCTCTTGGTTTTGGGGGGCAGTGGCGGCCTGGTGGGGGACATCTGGGCAGGAATGGGGTGGAGTCAGTCCCCTCTGGGGTCCCCTGGTTTTTGTGTGTGGCCCTCTGGACCCTTCCAAGGTACAGCTGTACATAGACATGTCCTAAGCTTAAGAGTCTGTAGGTGGTGATCTTGGGGGTGCAGTGGCCGGAGAGGGGACCGTCCCCCCCCCCCCGTCCCCAGCTCTGGAAGACACCTGTCCACCAAGTGCCATGTCTTGGGCTGGGGAAATCACCACACCCCAGAAAGTAACTTATTTTGTACTAGTATCCGCCTGAGAAAAAAAAAGAATCGGCAGTATTTTCTGTTTCTGTGTTTTATTTGGGATTTAGTGAACTAAGTTATTGTTAATTATGTACAACATTTATATATTGTCTGTTAAAAAAAATTGTATGCTACCCGCCTATCCTTAAAAGTGAATACTGTTAAGAATAATAAAAAAAAAATACTTTTTTTGTGAATCGCTCTATAACCTGTTTGTTGGGGTCCCCCAGGGGACACCCCAGGAGAGGGAAGGGGTGGCTGGGTGGGTGGGGGGTCTGATGCATCACCATTTAAATTTTTAAAAAATCTTGGGTTTCTTGAAAAAATCCAAACCTGACACCCAGTTACTTCTCCCCAGGGACATTTCTGATCTCTGAGATACCTGGTCACCACTGTTCACTGACCAACGTGATCGATATGTATGGACAAACCTGATGGCCAATGTCTGATCAGCGATATCAGTGACTGTCGTCTTTGATCAAGGATGTTGATCATCGGTGACAGCTAGTGGGGCGCGGTGGCGCACGCCTGTCATCCCAGCGGCTTGGGAGGCTGAGGCAGGAGGATCGCAAGGTGGAGGCCAGCCTCAGAAACTCAGCGAGGCCCTGAGCAACTCAGCGAGACCCTGTCTCTAAATAAAATAGAAAAAAGGGCTGGGGACGGGGCTCAGAATATCATGACTGATATTCTTGGTCAATGACATCTCTGATCCCCAGAGACTTCTGCTTCCTAACGACCGATCACTGATACTGATCACCAATAATTCATCAATGCCTCTGATCCGTGATGTGTCTGATCACCCAAATCAATAAAAGGTGATTACTGTCTCCACTCACCCATAGCCTGCCTGCTCATGAATCTCTCTTCTCATCCATGTTTCTGATCGCCAAGGTATTGATCACCAATGCACCGTCACTAATGTCACAAATAGTAGGATCACCAATGTCCTCGATTGGTCTTTTTCTTTTCTTTTCTTTTCTTTTTGAGAGTCTCATGATGTTCTCTGGGCCGCCCTCAGACTCCTGGGTTCAAGGGCAGGCCACCAAGTCAGGTGATCAGTTATTTTTTTTTCTCCTAATGATCTGATGATCATCATGTGTGACCTCCAATATCTCCAATCCCATTACAAATGTCTCTTTTTTCGGGGGGGACAGGGTTGGGTGGTACCAGGGACTGAACCCAGGGGCCCTTGACCCCTGAGCCCCGTCCCCAGCCCTTTTTATATCTTATTTAGAGACAGGGTCTCCCTGAGTGGCTCAGAGCTTCACTAAGTGGCTGAGGCTGGCCTCCACCTTGCGATCCTCCTGCCTCAGCCTCCCAAGCCACTGGGATGCCAGGCATGGGCCACACAATGTTCTTGGTCACTTGTGTCTGATCATTAATATCTCTAACCAACAATACGCCTGATGTCCAATGTCCCCATCATAGACTCCTCTCACCATCAAATTTTCTGCCAATGCTGCTGACCCATCCAACCCAGTCACCTGCCTCCGATGACCAAGGTCTCTTATCACCAATATCTCTGATGTCCGATATCTGACATTGCTGCCTCTTCTTCAGGGTCCCCAAGGGCTTAAGCATTAACCTCCCTGGCCACCAATCTAGTGATTGGCCCCTAGTCATTGGTATCACCAGTCGCCCACATCTCTGATTACCAAAGTCTGTAACCCCCCGTGGCTCTGGTCACCAAGTTTGAACTGCAACAGGCCACTTATGACCCTCCGGACGCCATGACGGCACAGTCACCGAATCTCATCACCCAATGTCCTGCAGGCCCTTGGTCACTGAGGACCTGAGGATCCCATGGTTTCACTGTGCATGCTCCTGGTGACCCACACCCATGATCCTCCTGTCCCTGATCAGTGTCAATCAAGGATAGCTCACCAAGTCCTCTGAGTACGGCCTCCTCATTGGTGCATGACTATGACCTCCCCACCTTCACCATCTCTCATTATGACTCACAGAGCAAAATCCCTCCAAAACCATCATCATCAGCCGGACACGGTGGCCCACACCTGTCATCCCAGTGGCTCTGGAGGCTGAGGCAGGAGGATCTCGAGTTGGAGGCCAGCCTCAGCAAAACCTCAGCAAAACCTCAGCAAAACCCAGAGCCCCAGCCTCAGCCCTATTTTCTATTTGATTTAGAGTCAGGGTCTCGCTGAGTTGCTCAGGGCCTTGCTAAGTGGCTGAGGCTGGCCTCCAACTTACGATCCTCCTGCCTCAGCCTCCCCAGCTGCTGGGCACTGCGCCTGGCTCCGGTCACCCCATATTTTTTTTGGAGAGCATCGTGCCAGGCACTGTTGTGGGTTCCATCAAACAGGAAATAAGTAGATGAGCAGGTTGGTGCCCCCAGGCCACCATAGCTCCAGACCTGGCGCCACAAGTGGCTGTCCTTTGCAGGGCTCAGGCTGGTTTTGTAGACCCTGGGGCCTGGCGCCAGGGCGGCCGGGGTGGGGCTGGTCTTTGTACCATTTGTTTGCTCCCAGGTGGGGCCGGCTGGCCCTGGCCTCCTTCCCTCCGGCTGGGCCATTTCCAAGCCTCACTTTGACTCTCCCGGTTTCCATAGGAAGGATCCAAACCCGGGTGACCTCCCTTAGCCAAAAGTTGGGTCCTGCTCCCTGAGGCCTCCCGGGGAACTGTTATGAAGACAGGGAGGGACAGAGATTTCCAAGGGATCCTCAGGACACAGGGACACACACAGGCCGGGGGTGGGAGGCTGTTCAAAGGAATAGTCCATCCAGAGGGACAGATTCACCTGGGGCAGGGGATTCCCAGAGCGACCGGGTCCTAAATGACACAAGACAATTCGATTCAAATTCCATTTTTTTTTGGTCCCAGGGAGTCCCGTGTCCCCAGCCCTTTTTTTCTATTTTATTTAGAGACAGGGTCTCGCTGAGTGGCTCAGGGCCTTGCTAAGTGGCTGAGGCTGGCCTCCACCTTGCGATCCTCCTGCCTCAGCCTCCCGAACTGTTGGGATGACAGGCGTGCGCCACGGTACCTGGCTCTTTTTTATTTTTATATTTTTATATTTTTATTTTAAGGTAAGATGATTTCAAACTTGAAAAAGGAACAAGCAAGCCCAGCAGGATAAATCAGAAAATTAGAGGAAATAAAGGAGACAGAGAGAACATACCTGTGAGTGTGTGTGTGTGTGTGTGTGTGAGAAATGCTTTCCAATATCAAACCAGATTCTATTGACACAATAGTTCAAACCTTTTGCTTCATCTCTGTAACAAGGAGCAGATCAGCCAGGCCCACGGTGGCACGCACGCCGGCCGTCTCACAGCTCGGGAGGCTGAGGCAGGAGGATCGCAAGGTGGAGGCCAGCCTCAGCCACTTAGCAAGACCCTGAGCAACTCAGCGAGACCCTGTCTCTAAATAAAATATAAAAAGGGGCTGGGGATGGGGCTCAGGGGTTCAGCACCCCTGGTATAAAAAAAAAAGTGGATTAAATGGTTTCAGGTTAGGAAAGTCACATACAAAGAGGTGACAGTGACAGTTGATTTCTGTGTCTCTTCCCTCAAAGGAAAGGGCTTCTCTTTCTCGGGAGGCCCTGCCTCGGTCTCCACCAGACCTCTGGTGCCTGAGCCGACCTGGGTGTCGGGGACACTGGGTACTCACAGGTCCACATACACCTGTGTGGTAGGCGGGACACTCAGGAGAGATTTGATCTTCCTGTCCCCGTTGGTGGTGTCTGTGGGGACTGGAATCCAGGGCTCCCGCCCGCTCGGCCAGTGCCTTCCCACGGAGCCACGTCCCAGTCCTAAAGATTTAATCTTGAAACCAGTCCCTGCAACCTAGCCAGCTGGGTCACCGCGCCTGGTCCCTCCCCCCCCAACTCCATGACCAGAGAGTCCCTGGGAATCTCAGAGGCTGGGACCAGCCTTCCTAGGGAGCAGAGAGGGGGACAGAGAATTTGAACAAAAAGATGGGACAATTTTTTTTTGCAGGCAGGAAGGGCGGCAGATTGATTTGGGGTGGTGCTTTGGAAAGGAGCCCTGAGATGCTCCCACCTCCAAGATTTAAAATTGTTGCACGATTACCCAGAAGCCTTTGCAAGAAGGCCTAGAACCTGAGATTTTTCAGGACCCTCCAATTTCTTTCTTGATACCAGGGATGGAACCCAGGGGTGCTTCACCCCTGAGCCCTGTCCCCAGCCCTTTTTCTATTTTATTGAGAGACAGGGGCTCGCTGAGTGGCTCAGGGCCTCGCTAAGTGGCTGAGGCTGGCCTCCACCTTGCGATCCTCCTGCCTCAGCCTCCCGAGCGGCTGGGAAGACAGGCGTGTTCCCTGTGTCCTGGCCAGGTCACCACTATTTCTAAAACTGAGAGGTTACCTACAATCTAAATACTCAGCCAAAGGGGATGGTGAGAAAAATATATATATATATATACAAGAAATAAAAATAAATACATATATATATAATAAATGAAAGCCGGAACTCAAGAAGATATCGGGTCCCCCCTATGTTCACCGCCCCATCATTCACAATAGCCAAAAGGTGGAAATGACCCAGGTGTCCAACGACAGATGAATGAAAAACCAAATGTGGTCCTCTCCAAACAATGGAATATCATTCAGTCTTAAAAAGGAAGGAAATTCTGACATGAACCAAACTTGAGGACATGATCTTGGAAAAAAAAAATAATAAGGCAAACACAGTCGAGTGCTGCAGGACTCCCCTCACCTGAAATCCCCAGCAGCCATCGAATTCAGAGAGGGGAAAAGAGGGTGCCGCACGCCCGTCATTCCCAGAGGCTCGGGAGGCTGAGGCTGGAGGATCGCAAGTTGGAGGCCAGCCTCGGTAATTTAGCCGTGAAGGAACTTATCCAAATCTTATCTCTACATAAATAAAAAAAGAAGAAGAAGGGCTGGGGATGTGGCTCAGGGGTGAAGTGGTCACCCTTTACCAATCCCAGGTTTAAAAAGAAAGAAAGTGGGTGTGGAGGCTGGGGTGGGGGAGGGGAATGGGAAGTTGGATGCAGACAGAGTTTCAGGTTGATAAGATGGAAAGTTCTGGGGGGGGGGGGTATGGACAATCCCCGCGAGCACAGCGAATGCCGCTGACCTAACCAGTTAATTACGACCAGTCATTGCGACATCAAAGTGGAAAGAATTTTCACCAAATGTTAACAAAGGCAGACGTCCGTGTGAGAGATGATTTTTTTCCCCATCTTTTCTCCACTTCCCAAACGTC